CCGCCACATTCAGAGATGTCCAAAGGACTACCACATGTACATTTACATGATGACCGTCCTATAAACCTCGTATAGTTGTAGACGGTATTTCGGGTTTGATTAATACAGAACCATCCAGAGACCCTATAAACTCGTAAAGGAGCTGAATGGTTCCAATAAGGAGTTGGGCGGGATGGACTATGTGTATATTGGATCTGAGAACGATTGAGGGGTATGGGGAGCATGGGCATTCCTCCTCCTCCATCTAAGGGTCCAAGGGTACAAACTAAACAAGCAGTTTTATTTGCTTCATGGGCTACTATTTCTGCCAATTGAAGCCACTTGTTATAGAGACTCTGAGCCCCCTGTTTTCTCATTTCCTGTGTGGGGAAAATGCTATTACGATTTAAGACCTGGAAGCATTCGGCCTTGGGAATAGATTCTCCCATCATAAATAGGAGAAGGATCATCAAGGGGATGGAGGGGATCGCTTCCTTCCAAAAAACCTATGGCGCTCGTGCCAACAGAAATACGAGAGCATCCATATGACAAGGGCGATACATATCACTCCTATCCACCAAACCCAATATCTCCATGGTTCCTCCCACCAAAAATCAGGGTTCATTTCTAGTTTTCTTTTACAGCTGAAGGGCCCACTGATACTCGTATTCAACTATTTCCTGGGCCTCAGGGGTAACTTTCCACTTCTCTGCTGAGGCACCTACTATACGGAGCAATTTCCCTACAATCCCTTGTGGGTGGACTGGGCTCTCGTGTTGTCTCTTCAAGATATTATACCCAAAAGGGGCTCCTCCCTCTTCATATATCAGCATGCACCCACAGGAATATGTCCACCCCTGCAATGGCCTGACACTTGGGGTGACTATATCAAGGGGTTCCGGACCCAATACCAAAAGTCCGATTGGTGCCTCTGAATTTGCTGGAGAGCAAGTTTCTACGTTGGGGACGCTGCCCGCGGGCGCCCCTCCCATCCAATTCTTCAGCCGTGCGTAGAGATATCAGCCTCCGGAGTGATATCAGCAGGGCGGTTGTCTACCGGGCGTCTGGAGATGGTCAGCCGAAGGGAATTCTCTGGATCTGGTGTTACTGTCCAGTCTGAAATGGCTTTCTTCACTCGAGTATGGTGGACCCACGGGGTGATGCCGGCAACCTTCACAGCAGTAGGGGTAGAGAGTAGCACAGTGTAGGGTCCCCTCCAGCAGGGCTGTAGGGGGGCTCGCTGCCAGTCTTTCACCCACACTTCGTCACCTGGCTCGAACTGATGGAACGGTTCAGTTAACACACATGGGGTGCGAGCCTGGGTCCACCTGTTGAGGTAAGAGAAAACTTGGGAGAGTGACTGTACATAGTTATTCAATTGTACATCTTGGCTAGCATATGGAGTTAACATTCTAACATATGGAACTGGTCTCCCAAACATAACTTCAAAAGGTGACAAATGGGTCCGTTTTGACGGGAGACTGCGGACCCTGAGTAATGCCAAGGGCAACATGGTCACCCAATTAGACCCGGTCTCCTGTGTCAGCTTGGACAGCTGATTCTTTAGAGTTCTGTTCATCCTCTCTACTTTTCCAGAACTCTGGGGTCTATAAGCAGTATGCAGCTTCCAGTTGATCTGGAGCGCTTTTGCCAGTCCCTGTAGGACTGCATGAACAAATGCTGGTCCATTGTCAGATCCTATGGACCTTGGCAGTCCATAGCGAGGGATGATTTCCCTAAGCAGGCACCTGGTTGCTTCAAGTGCCTTTTCAGTCTTTGTGGGCCATGCTTCAACCCATCCGGTGTAGGTGCACACTGCTACCAGCAGGTAGCGGTGCAGTCCACAACGGGGTAATTCAGTAAAGTCCACGACAAGATCTTCCATAGGTGCAGTTCCACTGTGCTGAATCCCTGGGGGAGCCAGTGGTCCGGCTCTGGGATTATTCTTTTGACACAGCAGGCATTTCCTGGAGATCTGGGCTGCCAGTTGGTAAAGGTGGGCTATATAGAAGCATTTTTCCAGCTGCTTGGTTGTAGCATCTGGTCCTATGTGGGTTGAATCATGGTATCTCTGAGTAACCTGCCGAGAAAGGGACTCTGGAATCCATATCCTGTCATCAGGGGTAAGGTACCATCCTTCGTTGGACAACGTCAACCCCTGAGCGTCTGCAGTGTCCCTTTCCTGCTTCGTATAAGCTGGCTTGTCAGTAGTGCTTAAAATCTCTTCTGGGACCAGTGCTCCAATAACCGAGGCGGGGGCCAGTTCTTGGGCTGCTTCCTTGGCTACTCTGTCTGCCAATCGGTTTCCTCTGGCCACTTCCCCTGGTCCAGTCTTGTGTCCATAACAATGGATAACTGCCACTGCCTCGGGCTCCCATACAGCATCCAGAAGGTTCAATAAGGCTTGTGGGTGGGCCACCTGGCTTCCTCTGGAGGTAAGCAAACCTCTTTCTTTCCATAAGGCTCCATGGGCATGTAAAGTCAGGAATGCATACTTAGAATCTGTATAAATGTTTATCTTCTGTCCCTTTGCCAGGCTCAGGGCTCTGGTAAGCGCAGTTAGCTCTGCCAGCTGGGCCGATGTTCCAGGTGGGAGTGACTTTGCTTCGATCACCTGGTCTTCCAGGGCAACCACTGCATAGCCTGCCTTCCGCTGTCCAGTCTCAACAAAGCTGCTTCCATCTACAAACCATGAAGGCCAGTGGGGGTTTGCCTCATCTTTTAGGTCAGGTCTGCTGGAATATACTTCATCCATCACTTCAATGCAATCGTGCATCTGCTCCTCACCTTCTCCTACCGGCAACAGGGTAGCTGGGTTGAGGGCGGTGGTAACCTGGAACTTCAAACGCGGGTGCAACAATAGCATCTGGCACTTTCTCATTTTTGCTTGGGAGAGGAAATAGGTACCCTTCATGTCAAGCAGAGCTGGGACTGCATGCGGGGTCACACAAACAGTGTCTTGGCCAAAAGTAAATTTGTCTGCTTTGTGCAGTAGGGTGGCTACTGCCACTACTGCTCTCATGCATGGCGGTAAACCTTGTTCTGTAGGCGTCAGGCGCTCAGATAGGTATGCCACGGGCTGCTGCCAGCTTCCCAATTTTGTGGATAGCACTCCCTTTGCTGGTCCCTGGTCTTCATCCACAAATTTGGAGAAAGGCTTCTCAGTATTTTGGATGCCCTGCGCTGGTGCTTGCTGCAATGCCTTTTCAGATCCTTGAAGGCATGCTGTTGCTCTTCTCCCCACACAAAGGGGTCCTTTTCAGTTCCTCTGGTTGACTCATGCAGAGGCTTGGCAATTGTGCTGTAGTCTGGTATCCATATTCTACAGAATCCTGCTGAGCCCAGAAAGCCGCGAAGTTCCCTGCGATTCTTTGGCTCTGGAATCTGGATGATGGCTTGCTTCCTTTCTTCCCTTAGGGTCCGTCGCTGATGGGATATATCAAATCCAAGGTATTTCACGGTGGGTTGACATATCTGGGCCTTTTTCTTAGATACTCGGTATCCTGCTTCAGCCAGGTGATTTAACAAGTCCTTGGTGGCCTCCATACACGTGCTCTCGTCTGAACAGGCCAAAAGAAGATCATCCACGTACTGCATCAAGACTCTGCGCGGACTGGTGGGGAAGCTAGACAGGTCCGAGGCCAATGCAACCCCAAAAAGGGTTGGAGAATTCTTGAAGCCTTGTGGAAGCCTCGTCCACGTGTATTGCACCCTGGTGCCTGTTCCCGGATCTGTCCATTGAAATGCAAACAGGGGCTGACTTTCTTCTGCCAGGCGGCAACAGAAGAATGCATCCTTCAAGTCCAATACGGTGAAATAACATGCGGTGGGAGGTATTAGACTCAACAGCGTGTAAGGATTGGGCACATTGGGGTGGAGGGTCTCCACGGCCTGGTTGACTAATCTAAGGTCTTGGACCGGGCGGTACGAGCCATCTTCCTTCTTCACCGGCAAGAGTGGGGTGTTCCACTGAGATTGACACTGCCTCAGGATGCCATGGCGAAGTAACCGTTCCAAATGTACCCATACTCCTTCCGCAGCTCTTCGGGGGATAGGATATTGGTTCACAGCCACAGGGTTGGCGAATGGCTTGGGCTTGACTATTATAGGTGGGATGTTCTTTGCCATTCCGGGCGGGTTGCTTTCTGCCCATACACCAGGGTTAACTTCTTGCAGGAGGTCTTCTGGAATAATCCCCTCCTCTTCTTCTACCATCATTAAGCGCCAGTGTTCCCTCAAGGGTACCTCTAAGGAGAACTCTCCTGCTTGCCCTGTAGTCATTGTCACTTCTCCTGTCGGTTGGAAGGAAATCTGGGCTTGCAATTTTGATAGCAGGTCTCGGCCCAACAATGGGATGGGACACTCTGGTATATACAAAAACTTGTGTTGGACCACTTGGCCGCCCAGGCGACAGGCAACAGATTGCAAGAAGGGGGCTCTTTGTGATTTGCCTGTAGCTCCTATTATGTTAATTGTTTGCTTGGTGGGCTTGGACACTGGTACTGGCAAAACAGAGTGGGCGGCTCCTGTGTCAACCATGAAGGGGATGGTTCGGTTCCCTGTTTGTATTTTGACCATGGGCTCACGGGAACCTAAATCAGCTGGGCCCGGTCTGTCCTAGTATTCTTCCTCCTCCTCTCTCAGGCTCATCGCGGCGGGCTGTCTTTGGGCTGGAGGGTGCCAGGGAGGTCCCTGTCCACGTCCTCTACCCCTGCCTGTATTTGCAGATGTCCAAGGTCTCAGTTCTTGTCCAGGTCCCACGGGGATTGGGCCTGGGATTCGCTCTCCTCGTCCTCCTCCACCTGAGTGAGCTTGTGGGCATTCTCTTTTCCAGTGCCCTTCCTGCCGGCAGATGGCGCACTGGTTCCTCCCCAGACGGCCTTGCCCTCCTCCCCGGGCACTTCCTCTTTCCTGAGGGGTGGGTGCGGTAGCCTGTAGCGCCATCAACTTCTTTGCTTGATACTTCTCCTTTTTCTTTTGTGCCTCTTCCTCCCTCTGATTATAAGTGGTTTGAGCCAGTTCTAACATCCACTCAAGGGTGTGGCCCATGAACCCCTCGTGTTTTGAATCTTTCGGCGGACATCGGGCGCCGCTTGGGCCACAAAGGCAGCTTTTATGATAGGGGCGTTGGCAGCCTCATCTGGGTCCACAGGAGTATACTGGCGGTAGGCTTCCTTCAGGCGTTCTAAATATGCTCCTGGGGCCTCTTCATTCCCCTGCACTACCTCTCTAACCTTCACAAAGTTGGTGGGTTTCCTAGCTGCCCTTCTCATACCATTTAACACATTCTGGCGGTAGGTAGTGAGGATGTTCTGGCCATCAACAGTCTGATAATTCCAATTCGGGGTGTTTTCTGGATATCCTGCTGCCATAGCTGGATCCTGCACTCCCTGCGCTCTCAGGTGTGCTCGGGCTTCAGCATGGATTCGCCTAGTTTCTTCTGTGGTTAGCAGCGCATCCATCAAATACTGCACATCATCAAAGGTGGGATTATAAGTTTTAAAAATCCCTTCAAACAGCTTTATGATCTTCGCTGGGTTTTCCTCAAAAGATGGGTTTTGATTTCTCCAGTTACAGACATCTGCACTTGAAAAGGGTATATGCTGGACCGTATAGGTCCGTTCTGCTGCTGCTCCATTAGTCCCTGGAGGTCCTGGTGGGTCATAAACCCTTCGGAGGGGCATTACTCCGACCCCACCCTTTTTCTGTGCCTCATGGGACTTATGGAAGGCTGCCCTGGTTGCTGCTTCTATCCATTCCCTCTGCCATTTCTTCCCTTGTGTTGAGGAGCATCCTGCTGCAGCCAACACGTGGGGGCTAACATCCACTTCTTCTGCATAGGGTTGTACATACTGTTGCAATCTCAAAGACTGATACTGAGTCCACTCTCTTCCCTTCTTTGCTAACTCAACCAATCCCTTTACAAATTCCTCATCATCGTCTTCTTCTTCTTCTGATTCATTAGCCTTGGGGGGTTCAGGCTGGGGGCTAGCTCCTCCCGGTGCCTGGGGGCCTGGGTCCAGGGGAGGGGCAGTTGGTGGAGCATAGGGTGGAGGTGGTTTAATGACTCCCCCTCCTCTTCTTCTGGGTCTGGTATCACTGGGGGCTTTTCTGACTTCCCTGTCGGTCGAACTGCACAAACTGTACTTTGTGGGCGTCGCCTCGGCAGGCTTTCAACCACGATGGGTTCTTTTCTACATTGGTTTTCCAAGTAGAAATGTAGGGGATCTGGTCTGGGTGGACGTTCAAGATATTTCGATACAGTGGGTTGATTAGTTGCAAATCGAAGCTCCCCTCCGAGGGCCAGTTAGTTTGTTGCGAGGGCCAGTCAACCTCACATAATGTTCTCATCCTCCGTTGCCTCAATTTGATTCCCCAATCATCATGCTTTGTGGCTGCTTTCCAGTTGTTTAAAAACATTCCAGAGGACTACATTGGCTTGCCCCAGACCCCATTTACAGCTACTCTGCTGCTAACAGGTTGTAATTCTTTCACTCTACACACACTACAGCCCTACAATCGCTCGGCCAAGGGGACACTAAGCCCTGGCCCACACTTGACAATTCAGTCACTAGAGTATCTGACATGCAACATACAACATACAAAACACATCAATATAATTTCAACATGTAACACACTAGACACACCAAAATAATTTCAGCATGCAATACACAAAACACACCAAAATAATTTCAACATGTAATACACAAAACACACCAAAATAATTTTCCCCTCTGTTCCCCCCCTGGTTTGTGTTTTTTTTTTTTTTTTACCACACCGTACCGGTGGCGCACCACTGCCCCGCCCCGGTTTTTTTGTCGTTCCTGGCTGCACTCTACTGCATAACCAGGTGAGGCTGATCAGGCCTCCCTCTTTTCCCTTGGGCTCACGCCCACGCCCTTTCCCTTAACCAAGATGTAGGCTGAGCCTAGTCCATGCCAGGGAATCGTTGGCCCGCGTCCTCAGATCCAGAGAGAGAGCAAAAGAAAGCACCAGGAAAGATCCTTCTTTGGAGGAAAACAGTTTATTCTCTGTGCACAGTGACAGCCAGCAGAATAACTTCTGGAAGACTGGCTGCCCAGAAATACGCCTCTGCAGACTTTCTTATACCTTGAGAAAGCTCCTCCCTCCTCCCGTCTCCCTCGTATGTGTCTTTCTTATCTTACATTCCTAAAGTAAGAAAGCGAGGGGCCTCTGGTTATTTCTAGCTTACAGTCTCCTTCATATGTGTCTTTCTTATCTTGCATTCCTAAAATAAGAAAGCGAGGGGCCTCTTTTGCAGAAGTCAAATTAGCTCAGAAATTTACTTAGATCCAAAGTACAGAGAATATAGAAGATCCTTCTTAGGTACAAGGTACAAGGTATAGAAAGCATATAGAAAGCAACCCTTCCCTCTCCCTTCAGTGACAAGGCACAAAGTTCTAGGCCTTTGTGACAAATTAAAAATGAACAACTCACGGGGTCTGGATGGCACCTGCCAATAGCTTTTAAAGAACTCAGATATTAAATTGAATTTCTTCTAACAAAACTATGTACTGTAATGCGACCTTAAGCTCGGCATCCATACCTGAGAACCGGCAAGTGGCCAAGGAAACAGAAGTTTTTAAAAACATTGAGAGGGAGGGAAAGGAAATTGCAGATTGGTTAGCTTTATGTCTTTCCTAGGAAACCTGGTAGAAATAATTATTCAAATTAGAATTGTCAAACATTTAAAAGAACAACTGTTGCTGAAGCATAGCCAACATGGCTTCTGCAATAGTAAGTCGGGTCTAACTTACTGTTTTAGAGTTCTTTTAGAGTACCAATGAGCATAGGAAATGGGGTGGTCCTGTAGAGGATTATAGCATTATGCTCAATGTACATAAGCTGAAATCTGTATGGAGAGAAAGAGCTGATGTCAATGGCATATTGGTGACACCTCAATGCATATCCCCAAATGATCTTTCCCACTGGCTTCATATAGATCAGTGGTTCTCAAACTTTTTTCCCTGGGCCACACTTTCGTAAATTTTATCATGCCACGCTGTACATATTATTGATAAGAAATACATTGGAAAACAAAAAGAAGCGATTCCTAGCAGTGCTTGGTTTATAACACAGAACACATCTACCTTATAATATGATCATGGGACATTCAGGAAGTGTACAACAATGCAGCTTCATAAGCACATTAATCATTCCCAAAATATAAACGAGCCTCTTATAGGTATCTTAAGTATGTCTACAAAATCAATGAGAGGTATGAGCTTGCCTTTGCCAGGGAATTTCATTTATATTAGTTGAATTTGAGACAAACCCTCATCTCCTCATCAACACAAAGAAGCCTTTATCTTTTCCGATCTTTCATGTTTGTCAGAGTTGAAAATCCCTGTTCCGTATCTATCCATATTCTGCAAAAAACAACAACAAAACTTTAATACTCTACTATACTACACTGAAATGTTCAAATGTTTCATTGCCCTTGAACCTTCCTGCCATGCTTGCCATCTTCTCCTGCCACACCTGTGTGGAGCGCCACATCCTTTGAGAACCACTGAACAGATGTTAACAAGCATGGGCAACAAGGTGAGACCATGGGGGACCCCACAGCACAAACACTGTGGGGAAAAGCAGAACTCCCCAAATGCTACTCTATGCAAACGGTCTTGAATGTTGCCATCTCCCACTTTGCAAAGCCACACTAGGAGGTTGATGGTATCCAAAGCCCTCAAGACATGTAGGAGAATCTAGAGTCATACTCCTCTCTCTTGGTGTAGGTGATCGACCAGGATGACAAAGGTTGCTTCAGCGCTGAACTTAGGCCTATCGCCCAATTGAAACTGGTCTAGATAATTCATTTCTTCCAAGCATGACCGAAGCTGTCCAAGCCACCACACTCTTCACTACTTTAGGCAAAAAGTGATATTTGCCACTGGGCTGCAGTTGTCATTAGGGATGGGTAACTGTGTCAATTCCTATTTCTTTCAGTTCCTCGTTTTTCCAATCGGAAGTTGAGTTCTCCACATCGACGTGTGGCTATTTCCCCCATGAAAGAACATTAAAGTTTAATGTTTAATGTTAGTTGTCATTTCTCTCAGGCAACCTCTCAAGGTCCTGGCCACCTCCTAGACTATAGAATATTTTCCCACAATGCTAGGGGGAGGGAGTGAATCTTCTCCATTGCTTCTCTGTGAAAATATTCCTTGTTGCGAATGTTCAAGGATGCATTCCTTCCTTCCTTCCTTCCCTCCTTACTTCTTTCTTTGTATTCCCTTTTACAGTTTTGTAGCTGCCTCACTGCTGTTTCCTTCATTACCTTATTGCTGCAGTATTGTCTTGTTGCTGGGCCCTTTCTAGACCCTATCATGAAATGTTTGTTTATTTGATTTATTGTCCCCAAA